GGAATGCTCACTAGGATTTCACTTTGTGTTAGTGTGGAGAAAGGCCTGTACCCCTTCTTTTCCAGATTTTACTCCATCCCTGTTCTTGGCATCTTTATAGGACACTGCACATCGCAGATCTGACTTATTGCTCAGATGTGTGTTGCCATGTATTTGAAAACATTATGTCCATTCCTCTTCTCCTTGGTGGTGGGAAGGGTGCCTTCCCCAGCCTGGGCTTGCTTCAGTTCAGTTTTGGCAACTACAAACTCAATCCAACTCTCTTGACATCTCTGCCATCTGCAACTTCTTCCTCTCTGGGCTCTAAAACTCGGTTTTATCTTTTAACTCAATCCAACTCTCTTGACATCTCTGCCAGCTGCAACTTCTTCCTCTCCGGGCTCTAAAACTCGGTTTTAGCTTTCCTAAAAGATGGTGCCTTCTCTAAAATCAGCTTCCATTCTCCTTTTTGCAATGCACTGTCTCACTGCTTCCTCCCTGCTTTGGATCTTTCCTCCCAGGGTCATCTTTGAGACTCTTGGGAAAATGAAGCGGTTGCCTTGAACATCAGGTGGCTGGGGATGACTAAAAAGCTCTGCTTCTATGGCCTTCTTAGCTTTCTCCATCTTAGCAAACTGAGGGTTTGGTGGTTTTTTTCATCACTTTCTACTTATCTGTGTGTCTCAGCAAGATGGTGAGGGGCCTGAAATATTTCCTAGAGTCACAGAAAGGTTTGGGTGGGAAGGGACCTTTAACCCCCCCCAATCTAATCCCCCATGAGCAGGGACACCTCCACCAGCCCAGGCTGCTCCAAGCCCCGGCCAACCTGGCCTTGGGCACTGCCAGGGAGGGGGCACCCACAGCTTCTCTGGGCAACGTGGGCCAGGGCCTCGCCATCTCACAGCCAGGAATTTCTTCCTAATATCCAGTGTAAATCTCCCCTCTTCCAGTTTAAAACCATTACCCCTCATCCTATCACTTCATGCCCTTGTAAAAATGAGAACAGTGATGGAAGGATGAACAGAAATGGAAGATCTTAATCTTGCAAAGCAACCAGTTAGATTTATCAGCTGATGTGCCCTCATCCTCCACTTCTTTAGGTTTTTTTTGGTCCAATGCATATATCTAGTTCACCTCCTGGTGGATTTTGTGGCCGTACACTCATCATCTCATGAGCTGTGAAGTCCTAAATGGAGAACCATGGGCAAAGTGGAAAATGAGCAACTAAGACTGGATGAACTTTGAATAACATGAAACCTACCTACATAAAGGTCTGAAGGACCAGCACTGTCCTGTTTTGTTGCAGATGTGCCTGGACAAGAGGGATTTTTGGGAGGTTGAGGGGCTTCACAGATGTTTATGGAGTGTGCTTTCCACATACTTGAGAAGATTAGAGTTCTTGTTTCAAGGTTGAGCCATTGAGTGAGGTTCAACAAGGTCCTGCACTTGGGTCACAACAACCCCATGCAGCGCTACAGGCTTAGGGAAGAGTGGCTGGAAAAGGACCTGGGGGTGTTGGTTGACAGAGGCTGAGCAGGAGCCAGCAGTGCCCAGGTGGCCAAGGTGGCCAACGCCATCCTGGGCTGGCCCAGCACTGGTGGGGGCAGCAGGAGCAGGGCAGGGATCAGCCCCTGTGCTGGGCACTGCTGAGGCCGCCCCTGCAATCCTGGGCTCAGCTTTGGGCCCCAAAAAGGCCATGGAGGGGCTGGAGCGTGGGCAGAGAAGGGCAAGAGAGCTGGGGAGGGGTCTGGAGCACCTGAATGCTGGGGAGAGACTGAGGGAGCTGGGGGAGTTCAGCCTGGAGAAGAGGAGACTGAGGGGAGACCTTATCCTCTCTACAACTCCCTGAAAGGAGGGGGTAGAGAGGTGGGTGTTGGTCTCTTCTTCCATGTAACCAGTGATAGGACAAGGGGAAATGGCCTCAAGTTGTGCCAGGCGAGGTTTAGGTTGGATATGAGGAGGAATTTCTTTACTGAAAGGGTTGTCAAGCACTGGAAGGGGCTGCCCAGGGAGGTGGTGGAGCCCCCATCCCTGGAGGTGTTCAAGAAGTGGTGGATGTGACACTTGGGGCCATGGTTTAGTGGCCATGGTGGGGTTGGGTTGATGTTGGACTTGATGATCTTAGAGGTCTCTTCCAGCCTTAATGATGCTGTGATCCTGTAACGTATGGAGAGCAGCAGCTAAAATCATGGGCTGACTGGAGAACCTCACTCGTGGCTGGTAGAGGGTTGTAGCATCCAGCAAGCTTCTCAGGTGGATTCCAGGCTTCCTCCCTTTTTTCCCCCTCTCTCTCAAAGTCAGAGCACGTGCAGGATTCTGCAAAGACCTCTTGACACTCTCTGAATCTTTCATTTTAAGAAGGAGCCATCCATTCGTGGGATGACATCTGATCCTAGGGTCTTTCTTTCTGGTTTTCCCCATAGGTTGAGCAGAACTGGGCAACGCTACAGGGGGGTGAGATGACCATCCAGACGACGCAGGCATCAGAGGCCACGCAGGCGGTGGCATCGTTAGCAGAAGCAGCGGTGGCAGCATCTCAAGAGATGCAGCAAGGAGCAACTGTTACCATGGCACTCAACAGGTATGGGCGAGAGATGAAGGTTTGAAGCGTGCACACATGATATTTTCTTCTAGGTTTCCACTCTAATGGTGCAAAGACCACCACGTCCAGTCCCAGTAGAGGATTTTCCTTAGCGAATTCCCATGTCTGTCTGTGTCCAGGTGCCTGCAGAACAGTTTCTGTTTTCTGCTGTAACCATAGAAGAACATTGACACGGAAATTTCCTGAAAGAGGAAGAGATGGGCTGTAACTGTATCCTCTAAATGATCTTATTTGCACAGCAGAGGTCCAGTTACAGAGTTGAGCTTGCTGAGCAAGCGAGAGTCATGATGCGCTAATGGCACCTTTTAAGAATGCTGGTCTGGGCCTCCCTCAGTATTATTAATGGTTTCTTACCAAAAGACTAAGGCCGGATTTCCCTGTTGTGTGGCACTGTAGTCTCATTTTAGAAGTCACAATCTCTCCCAGAAGCCAGCATTTTGGGGGTCTCTCCTAAATGTGTTTCTGAAGTCGAAGGTGAATGAGCTGCAATAGCGATGCTGCCTCTTCGTCTTGCAATGAGCTCTGTTAGATTTTTGGTTGTACTCAAGTTACCAAGATCTGCAGTGTAGTTCTCTACAGGTCCATGCAGCAGGAAGCAGTGACTTTGCTCAGCTCTGGTGAGATCCTTAAGCTTTGCCCGCTGTTCTTAAAAACTGGAAATGGCTGTGGCACAACGCAGCTGCACCCTGAGAGAGCAGGAGGAAGGTAGGAAACATGGCACAGCCCCAGCAGCACGGGAGGTTTCACACTGCTGAGGTGTAGACAAAACATCTTCCTCATCCAAATCAGGATTCTGGTCTAGAGGCTGTTGACTGAGCAGCTGTGAATTAGGACAAGGCACAAGTCCACACTGCTGATGGTCAGAGTAAAGCTTCAAGACCTAATTATATACAGAAATTACTAAATTACACCTTGATCTTGAGGGCATTCAACATCCTGCTTCCAAATCGCTGTTGCAACTGAATTGTGAGCCCACCTAGAATTGTTTCTTCTCCTCGTGGTCCAGATTCAGGTGCTTTTCTGCTACCATAGAAGTTGGTTTGGTAGGCATTTTTGCTAACAGTTTCACTGCAAAATTGCCTTTTAAAAACAAATAAATCCCTTAAGGCTGCTGTAAGAACAGCAACTAAAGTAACTGGGCATGGAGTTGCAAGAAAAAGCCCCATCTCCCAGAATCCGACTTGCAGGGTTTGTATCCTGCACATTTCCAGTCAATAGATTTTTCTATGGGGTTGTTTTTAGAAGTTTTTATAGACTAGAACATTCGTGGGCTTTTTGATTTTAATGTCATCCCATTGCTTATTAGTTTTAGCTCTTAAGGTTGCAACGAGCTGTTCCTTTTCCTGTATTAGCTTAAGAAATTCAGAATCCCTACTAAAAAGAGATGTAAAGAGAGTCCTAGAAAATGTGAATGGAAGAGCCTTCAACAAGTCATTTAGTCTCTACTGTGCCTCAAGGCAGGATCAGCTCTTTTTATACCCAGGAAAGCCCTGAGATGAGTCTGTTCAATCATAGTTCAGGAGAGATGATGATGTGATGGATGACACAGCCTCTGTTATGTTTGAGGATGGGAAATATTAGGCTTTCTAGTAAAAGAGAGCAAAGTGAAGGTAGGTAATTAGTTCATTGATTCGATCCAATTAATGTTGGTGGAGCACACCGTAACTGGAAAAGGCTTTTATGCCGCAGATCGTTGTTATTTTCAGGGCTGCACCCCTAACAGATTATTAAAAATGCTCGATTGCCCCTCACTGTAAGAAGGATGTTGAGATTCTGGAGTGTGTTCAGAGAAGAGCCACAAGGATGGGGAGGGCTCTGGAGAACAAGCCTGATGAGGAGCGGCTGAGGGAACTGGGCTTGTTTAGCCTGGAGAAGAGAAGGCTGAGGGGAGACCTCATCACCACCTCCAACTGCCTCAAGGGAGGGTGTAGAGAGGTGGGTGCTGGTCTCTTCTCCCAGGTGATGGGGGATAGAACAAGGGGAAACAGCACCAAGCTGTGCCAAGGGAGGTTCAGGTTAGAAATAAGGAGGAAGTTCTTTCCTGAGAGGGTCGTCAGAAGCTGGCACAGGCTGCCCAGGGAGGTGGTGGAGTCCCCATCCCTGGATGTGTTTAAGGAGCGGGTAGATGAGGTACTTAAGGATATGGTTTAGTGGGTAGACAGGAACAGTTGGATGTGATGATCTCAGAGGTCTTTTCCAAGTGAATGATTCTGTGTGTGTGTGATTCTGTGTGTGATTGCCCTTGAAAGTGGACTCAACTAAGTGCTGTGTGAAACCTGGGAAACAGGGTTATACCAGTAAATGCGTGCTTACTCCAGGTTTGCTGCGTCGTAGTTGGCTTTTCTGCAGCGTGACTGCCTTCACGTAGCTGCAGGTTCAGAAGAGAGATTCGCCAAAGGGAGCGAGAAAGCGGAGCAAGAAAATATTCAGGTTTGCTAACAGTGTGTAAGAGCTGCTCTGAGGGACAGAGGGGCTATTTAGAAATGAAAATACACCAAGTAAATGCAGTTGGAAAGTACACAGCATGTAAGAGGGAAATTAGGAAAGAGAAAGGATGAGGAGAAAGTACTCGGAAAATATTTGAGTCAGTTGGTCTAGCAGAGAATAAGCAGGGCAGTGAAGGAGGAGCATCCTAGGGGAAGCCAAAGACAATACATTTTTAGGCCATTAAGGTAAGAAATGGTGGGAGGTTCAGCTGCAGCAAGGAGGTGGCTTTGGATTAATTTTGTGACAAGCAGTAGTGGCTGATAGTCATGCAACAGGTCTGGAGAGATCTGGACAAGCAAATGGCAAATGAAATGTGATGTCAATAAATGCCAGGGGATACACATAGAAAGAAATACCTCCTGTGCATACTCAATGAGGAGCTATGTGCTACCAGTTGCCATTCAGAAAGCATGCAGGGGACTGTCCTCCAGCAGTGTTTTGTCACTGCTGAGCAGATATTGTCAAAAGAATGAGCTGAATATTAGGAATTATAGGGAGAGGCATAGAGAACAAGCTAGAATTGGACCCCTGGACTAACTCATGGTGTGTCTACATCTTGAATAGTGTGAGAAATTGTGTCCTCCTCCTCAAACAGATGTCTTATATTAGAAAGAGTCTGGAAAGGGCAAGAGTGATCAGGAGCCAGAGAGAGTCCTTGCACAGTAAGTGGACTATGGCTCTGTATATTGGGAAAGAGATCACTGGAAGTCTATGAAATCAGGAAGAAAACGAGAAGGGAACAGTTATTTTCTGTCTCTTAGAATATCAGGGCTGCCCAGCCAGACTGAGGCAGTAGTTTTTGGAGTACCAAAATGCAGTTTTTCTTCACACAGCATCTAATTAAACGTCGGGACTCGTCGCTACAGCTCATTGTAAGCAGTAAGTCTAAATGGGTTTCAAAGACAAATCAGACCTGATTGTCCAGATGCAGTTTCCACTGTAGGAAATCGATAGGATCATCCACACTCCTTCCTAAATATCTGATACTGGCTGTTCTCACAGCAGGGTTGCTGCGTGAGAAGGACCTTTGGTCTGACCTCATTCCTCTGAAGAAATTTAAGAATACTGTGCTAAGCTACCCATCACTCATTAAAAAGAATTATTAAACCACTTGGCTGGGGAGAAGTGCTCCATCTCGGCTAAATACAGAGCTGCTGATGGGATCCTGGTAATGGTAAACCTCTGGGGCTGTTTGAGTGCAAGGTGAACTGGCAAGGGTAGAGCTCGAAAATCTGTCGAAACCCGGAATGTAACAGCGCCAAAAGAATGAGTTTTGTACCAGAAACTTACTCAGATTGTCCGAAAGCTTTTAATAAAGTCCCAGACAAAAGGATTTGAAGGTAAGAAGGCAGAGGTGCTCTGACTAAGAGATCTGCAAGCTGAAAAAAAGCCAATGAGAGCAGCATCTTCCCATGTATTTCCCCCTCCACTGTAGATTTTCTACTGTGGATAACTTCACATGGTCCCAGGAAGAATCCCTCCTGCCTGGATTTGTCCTCTTGACATCCAGCACCTGGTTAAAATGGATGCTACTGGAGTGGAGTTACTTGTTTTTCTGCTCTTCCTAATTCCTCTTTCTCCATTCCTGTGCCCGCAGTGAAGCAGCTGCCCATGCAGTAGCCACGCTTGCCGAAGCCACTCTTCAAGGTGGAGGACAGATTGTCCTGTCTGGTGAAACTGCAGCAGCAGTAGGAGCGCTTACCGGAGTCCAAGATGCCAATGGTAAGGCTGTTGGAGAGTTTTTCTTTTCCCTATTGGTTTTCTTTGCTCTTAGCTCGGGGTTTTTCCTCTCTTTTACTTGAAACGTCAAGTTTTCCTTAGTAAAATCATCACTAACTAGGCTGTGACTTAAAATCTCAGAACAAAGTGGTAGCGCTAACCTCCTGTTTACTGCCATAGTGCTTGCTCTGCTCTTTTCCACCTTCTGCCAGCTTGCTACTTAGCCTTAATTTTGGGGGAGGAAATTGCTCCCCACTCTGTATCTGTCCAGCGCTTAGCACAGGGAACACCAGACTCGATCAACTAACACAGCCAGTCAGTGCCACAATAAACTCATCTCCCAAATGCCTCACTGCAAACTGACAGAGACTATGACCAGTGTTTGATTACCCACTCATTTCTCTCCTTTCTCAAGACTTTTTTTGGATGCTTGGTGGCTGCTCTCGAGCAATCATTGCTTTTCTGCTTGGGTGGCGTCTTCTGGTCATCCCTCGGCCGTCAGCATTGGGTTGTTTGCCTCCTGCTTGATTTTTCCTTCTTGCCACTCAAGTCCATCGCTTGGTCCTAGGGATTCCCTGTAGCGTTTCTCACTTGTCTGGATGTCTCTTCTGCCAAGTCTGGTGACTTTTGCACTTACTCAAACAGCAATTTCATAGAAACTGGGTCAAGAAACGATACTGGAGCATTCAAACGTGTCCGGTTGGTGCTTGTCCACTGCCTCCAGTTGCTCTGTGCTTCTCCCCGATGCCTTTACCGTGCTTTCCCAGTTCAGAGATGAACCTCACCGGTCGTTTCGAGGAGGAGGTGCGTCAAAATAAGCTCAAAAAGGATGAGAAGTGTGAAGTTGTAAAGAAACGTAAGGATGGGGCTGTTTGGGCTCTAATTTTAGTCAAAGGGGCAGCAAGCGTGTGCAGTCGGGTGGCAGAGCGATGACTTCTTGCCTTGTCACTTTGCACGTAAAGCAGAAATCTGGCTGGCTTGAGACCTCGAGCTTGATTTCCATCAAAACCCTCATCTCATAGGGAAAACACTCGTTTTATAACATCACTATTTAGTTTGCAGCCAAAACGGAGCAGCGGAGGGAAGAATAATTTTCCTGGGGGTGTTGGACTTGGTGTCTCTTGCTGTGGAGTCAGCCAGCCTGAAGAGGGAGCAGAAATGAAGTGAAAAGCTTGGCCTCAGAGCCGGGAACGCATCTGATACCAAGAGGGAAGGGTAGGGTTGCGTTGTATTGCGCTCTGCCGGCAGCCTGGCATGAAGGGGGGATAAGAGCGATGTGTGTTTATTGAAGGAAGGATCTGACCCTGGATGCTCAAAACCAGCAACTAATCAGATTTGGCAAAGCACGTTAGCGTCCTTTAGCAGATCGGCACCCCTGGCTCCTTTTGGTCTGCTTCCAAAATGCTTTCGTGGTCTGGATTCCTCTGGATGCTTCCCCTAAAACAACTCATCCTCCTCCACACCCCTCCTGAGTCCCTCTACCTCACTTGATATCGTTCTAATGCAAGCTGGGCTTTTTCTTTTCTTTTCTTTCTTTTAGCAGCGGAGTTGGAAATCAGATGGGATTTAGAGTGCATTAAGGGGAGAGACTGCAGCGTTTCCCTCTGAGCACAACCTCGCCCGCAGCCCCTCGCCTTGTTTCCACTCTTCTTCGATCTGCTCTAATCTCCGGTGGTATTAAGGGGAAGGGCTTTGTCGGAGCGGGGAGACCTTGGAAGCGCCGTGCTGTTAGTTTTTATTACGTAACCAGCTAATATATCTCCCTTAGGGATGGAGGAGAGCTTGGTATCCGTTCCTGCTGTCTCTGTCTGGGGATGGAGAGCAGATGGGTTTTCAGCTCGCGAAGGATTTGTCTGCCTTCCCCGTACCCCTGAAGCCCGGGGTGGGAGCGTGAGCATCCTCCTGGACATCGGTGCTCGGTGGTTCGGTGCAGTGGGAGATGAAATGGGGAGTGATCTGGTGCAGTCGGACACAGGAAGGAGGGGGAAAACGACTGCCAGAGCCATAATGGTATTAACCAGCAAATTCCCCCTGCTCGCCGTTGCTTGCAAAGTCTTAATGTGCTGATATTGCCAATAAACGCCTCTCTCTAGGAATGCTCTTACCCTTCTGTAGGTCTCTTCTGAGGGATCCCAATCCCTTACCCACGCCGCTTCCCCTGCAAGGAGCATAAATTCATCCCCATCTTATTCACAGGGAAAAGGAGACAGTAGCTTAACAGAAGTGTGTGAGGTTGGGTAAGGTGTTTCATTCCTGATTCGAGGTGTAATTATTCAGTTTTTAGGGTTTTTTTTCTTGTTTCTATCTTGTTATGGTATTTTTCCCCATCTGTTCTCTGCCATCTGAGTAATAACTAAGTGATACAAGAGAGCCAAGATGGCCAAAAAGAGACAGTTTCTCTATGTTCATGGATATCTTGCTCTTGCAGGGAGGAGGGAGCCCAGCGGCGTGGGTGAACCGCAAAAGGGCTGCGGGTAATCTTGTGATCGGTTACATTTATAGCTAAGGGAAATAAGATCTCCTGCTCCCATGCAGTGTCAAACTGGCTAAGTGCATTATGGTTTTCTTGCTACTCTGGAGCATCTGCTCCGAGTGGGGATGCTGGAACCGATGACCCCATGGTTTGAGCCTCAGATGTTTTGTTCTTAAGTGGCTGGCGTTAAAAGCAAAGTCATAATCAAAGCAAGCGAAGGGCATTGCAGCAGCACCGGTTTCTGAAGTTAACTGGAAACCGAAAATGCTCCGGTAAGAGGAAACTGTGTGCTCTGGGGCTGCTTTTGGTGTCCGCTCGATCGGCGTTGGGAAGGAGAGGTGGCAGTGCCAGGCTGCAATCTGGGCCTCGCTCGCTCAGAGCATCCTCATACCACAACCTTTTGTTTGACATTGATCTGAGCGGGGGCTTGAAAGCTGCTTGGGCTACGGCCTTCCTGGCTTCATCTTTAAATATTGATGAGGCTTTTGCCTAAGCAGGGTTGTAGCAATGCGCAGAGCTGCCCGTGAAGGACAGAGCAGGCTCGCTGCCCGAGGAAGGTTGGGTTTAATGGCCTTGGTGTTGTCATAAGCCTGGGGTTATTGCAGTTGTTGCGGCATTTTGAGGAGCTGGTTTGGAGGTCAGAGGGGTGGTGTGCTCAAAGCCCCTTCTGGGGTTTAAAAACAGGGCACGGAAGGAGGCACGGTGGAAAGAGATGGTGTTAGGAAGAGGAGAAAGCATTGGAAGGTGTGAAATTAGGGAACTGATTTAACAGACCCCAGATAGGCGCAGTCAGAGACTCAATAAATCCTTGCTTGTCCACCTTGGTCCTCACATGTGGCAACTGCTGCCCCTTTTTCCTGCCCAGAAATCAGGTTGGACTGATTTATCTCCTCCCTGTGCTGCTGGAGATGCTCGTGGGAGCACTGAGGTGCCTGATACTGGCACGGCAGCTACACAAGCGGGCTCTAAGAGGAGCCTATGGTGAGTCTTGCCCTTCTCCACCACCTCGGTCACCCCAAAAATCCAACCCCAATTCTCCGTACGGCCAAAGGGAGCCGTGCGTACGGCTGGGGGTGAGCCAGGATTACCGAGCTGTGATGGAAGCCCGGGGAGAGCATTAGGAGGCTGACGTGGGCAACGGGGGATTAGCGAGCTCTCTGCTTTCGCAAACTGAGGAAACGAGGCGTCAGTACGGGACCGCGTCTTGCAAGTTAGCGTGGGATAAACAAACCTAGAGCGGCATTTGGGGTGACGGGGAACTTGCTGCACACGAGATGCTGTTCCCCTCGGTGATTTCTATCTCAGGAGCAGTTTAAATGCTGAAAAGCCTTCAGCCTTGCACGAAATCAAGACGGCGTCGGGTGGAAACCTGTCTCCACCCTCGGCTGCGCAGATGGGAGATGGGGAACCCTCTTCCCGGTAGCAGAGAGACCTCCAGGCCTGGAGTGTGTTTGCCAGTCCCATCGGGCTCCGTGTGGGCTGTTTATAGTTGAAAGCACATCCAGGAGTCAAGATCCTGGTTTTTTGGGGCTGTGCATGTCTCCTGGAGAGCGTGAAAGAGGAAGGAGATGCGTTGGGCAAACCCAGTGACGGGAACTGCCTGTTCTTGCTTTTTTTGGGTGCCTCAGGACAGGGAGGTGCGGCATCTGCATGAGAAAAGATTAAAAAAAATAGATGGGTGGAGGCTTGGAGGCTGATCTGCAAATGTCAGTCTTTAAAAGAAGTCTTTTTTTTATTCCTGTTGGATCTCCTTTTTTAGGGAGGATGGACCCAAATGAGTCGCTAGCAACTTGGCAAAGTGCAGAT